GCTATTTTTTTGGTTGCAGCTGTCATTGTTGTTTGGTGGGCCCAGGCTTGATTCAAACCTGCCACCTTAGGTGTATGTGGCTGATGCCTTAGCCACTTGAGCCACAGGTGCCTAGCCAGCCCAGGCTGGTTTTCCAACCGCACCTCAAGCAGTCCTCCCACCTCTGCCTCCCAAAGCACTGAGATTACAGTCATGGGCCATTGCACTCAGCTAAAGTACTACTTTTAAAGCTCCTAGTCAGGCTCCTGAGTGGGTCTAGATGCCTCATCCTGTCTCACTTTGTCCAAACTGACCCCTATCCCTCTCATACTGACTGTACCAATCTAGAAACTACCTACCTACCTGATACACAGTGCCAGGTGCTCCCTGTCATACACCAGATTTATGTGGAACCTTCCACCCTCTCCCATCCCCCTACCCTCCTCTGTTATGAGCACCCTCAGAATTCCACCCTGCCTGCCCCTGGGCCCCAGGGGGCCCTCACCAAAGGCTCTCTTAGGCTGCACCAGGCGTAGGGTGAAGGGCTGGGACTTGGGCAGCTCCCGTAGCATCTTGGCCACCTCATAGTGGCGGCAGCCCACAATAGAGTGGTCGTTGATAGCTTCAATGCTGTCACCCACACACACGGCTTCAATCCGGTTGATAATGCTGCCTTCCTTGATTCTCTGCAGGGACCCAGAATCACTCATGAGGCAGTCCCAGACACCCACCTTTGGGGCTCAGAGCCCCGTTTAGATCCAGAAAGGTCTAAGAGCACTGAGCACCCAGGAAATCACCCTCCACCACCCCTCAGGCACCTTGATGAAGGCATAGCCGGCCCCATTGTCCGTGATAGTCAGTCCCAGAGCATCCTCTGTCTTGGTGACCTCTACCTCTTTGGTCTCACCGCGAACGTGGGCAAATATGAAGTCCTCCAGCCCTATTTGACCCCCCAGCAGCTTCTGCATGTCCACTTTGTGGCTGTTGAGGGTGCAGAACAGGATCTGCACAGAGGAGACAGGAGCCCAGAATTAGCCACAGTGCAGGAACCAGTAGAGCCATGGGCAGAGAGGCCTGATGGGGAAACTGAGGCCAAAAGAGGCACAAAACTGACGCAGGATCCCAGACCATGGGAAACAGAGAGGCTTGGGACTCCCAAATTGAAGAGGAGGGTGAGGAGGAGGCTGCCGGCATCAAAAGACCACTCTCCTGCCTTACTTCCAACTTCTAGGCTTAGCTCTTTGGTGCCCTTCTCAGGCCCTCTGCTTCCTTAGGTGGTCACTAATCTGCTGGCACCCCGTGGGGGCTGCACAATCGCGGCTAGGAACACCCCCAGCGTACCCCCCAATCCCACGGGGCTTTCCACCTGTAAGAGGACTGCCTGAAACCCCAACCCAGCTGTACCCAGAACCACAGACCCCCCAAGGCCTGCATTCGGTCGCTCCTAGCTGGGTCCGAGGAGTGGGTCCCCCCTAGATCTAGGAATCCACTAAGAACCGCTTATCTTTTGCGCAGTGCATGCAAGGGGATCCTTGGGGTATGTCACACTGGGATCTGAGAGGTACGTCTCTGAGATCTGGTGATGGGGCCCTCTCACCCCTCTCGCTGAGATCCCAGGATCTGGTTTTCCGGTCCATGGAGAACCCTATAGCCATCAGCCGGTAGCCTCGGGTGAGGGCATTTGGGGTCCTCACCTCGGTGGGCGCGATCCCGAAGGCCTCGGCGATCTTTGCGTAGAGCTCCCGGACATTGGTGAAGCCCTCGATCTTGCCCGTGGGGCTGCCGTGCGCCAGCTGCGTGCGGAAGACCAGGCGCGGGCGAGCGCGGGGCGCGGCCGGGGGCTCCGAGGGCGAGGGCGGGGGCGCGGGCGCGCGTGGGGTCTGGGCCTCTTGGGCCTCGCTGGCCGCTGTGCTTTCCATATCAGGGGAAGTTCGGTCACCCACCCGGGCCGCTGCTGTCGCCGCCACCGGATCCGCCGCTTCCTGCAGCCTCCCCTCCCCCGGACAGGGCGAGACTGTCGAGCAGCCCGCTCGGGTAAGGGGATCCGGGAACCCGAGCTGCCCGGGAAGGCGACACCACGGGGTTCGTGGCGGCGAGGGAGGGGGATGGGAGAGCATGAGGAGAATGCGGTGGAGTGGGGGAACGGCCCCAGGTGTCCGGGCCTGTCAGGGCCAGGTGCGCCCTCCCCAGGTATGCCTAGTGGTCAGTCGTGGGGGGGGCTGAGCTATGGACACTGGCATAACAAGGATCACAAATGAGGGGCCCGAGAGCAGCTAAGAGCACCCCAACTCTGGCTCTCGCCTAGGTTTAGTTAATCCTCACAACTGTAAGAGGTAGAGAGGGATGGTAATGCTGATATAACCTGAGCCACATCCCCTCCCACCTCTGTCCACAGCCCTCCTTCCCTCCTACTTTTCTCAGGGTCAAACCCCAAGTTGTCCCTGCTGCTCACATGGCCCTAAATAACCTGCCCTATTCCCTCCCTGGCCTCCTCTTATTTCCCTCTCTCCCTTTTTCCTCTGCTCCAGCCACACTTGCCTCCTCACTGAGCCTCCAATACATGGGGAATGGTCCTGCCCCAGGGCCTTTGCATGGGCTATGCTCTCTGCTTGGAACACTTTCCTCAGACCTCTGCATGATTCATTCACCCAAACTCCTTCAGATTTTTGGTACAATGTCACCTCCTCTCACCAGCCCTCAATCTTCTTTCCCTGACTTAATTTTTTTGCCCTGCACTTGAAAGGGCCATCTGATGTATGATATATATATATATATTTTTTTTTTTTTTTTGAGACAGAGTCTCACTATGTCGCCCTGGGTAGAGTGCCATGGAGATGGCATCACAGCTAACAACAACCTCAAACTCTTGGGCTTAAGTGATTCTCCTCCTTCAGCCTCCCGAGTAGCTGGGACTACAGGTGCCCACCACAACACCTGGCTATATATTTTTTTATTGCAGTTGTCATTGTTGTTTAGCAGGCTTGGGCTGGGCTCAAACCCGCCAGCCTCACTAACCCCCACTCACTGAGATACTGGGGCTGAGCCTGATGTATCAGATATTTTATTACATATTGTGTTCTGTCTGTCTCCTTGACTGGAGTGTCAGCCCCAGGAGGGCAGGGGGTTTGTGTCTTTTGTTCCCCAGCTGTGTCCCTGTATCCAGTGCACAGTTCCTGGCACACAGTGGATACTCAGGCATTCCTTGGTCAGGGAATGAATGGATCTCTGGGTCACAGGTGAAGAAGAGACATCAAGAGATATCTGTAAAATTCCCCTGGAATGCAACTCTGGAAAGGTAGAATTTCCATCAAAATTCTTACACAAGAATGTTGGCTCAACAAACAGCATTCCTATCCTGTGCTAGCTTGCCACACAGCAGGTCTACACAGGGCCTGCCTTGGAAGAATCTCACAAACCAAACATCAATAGAGAAAGATAGGTTGTAGAATGCTTTGGACAATGTAAGAAAGTTTATAAAAAGTTATAAAATTTGCAAAACCTACTATTTTTTCTTTCTTTCTTTCTTTTTTTTTTTTTTTTGAGACAGAGCCTCAAGCTGTCGCCCTGGGTAGAGTGGCATCACAACTCACAGCACCTTCAACTCCTGGGCTTAAGCAACTCTCTTGCCTCAGCCTCCCAAGTAGCTGGGACCACAGGCGCCCACCACAATGCCTGGCTATTTTTTGGTTGTAGCTGTCATTGTTGTTTGGCGGGTCCAGGCTGGATTCGAAACCCGTCAGCTCAGGTGTATGTGGCTGGTGCCTTAGCAACTTGAGCCACAGGCACCGAGCCAAAATCTACTATTAATATAAGCTACAATGTGGATGAAACTTGAAAACATCATACATGGTGACAAGAAGTCAGACACAAAGGGCCACATTAATGTGTAATTTTGTTTATATGAAGTGTCCAGAACAGGAAAATCCAGAGCGACAAAGTGGATTTGTAGTGTAAGGGTCTAGGTCTAGGGATGGGGAGTGACTGCTGATGAGACAGAGCTGCTTTTGGGGGTGATGAAATGTTCTGGAATTAGAGATGATGTAAACTGCTGTAAAGTGCTTTCTTTCTTTTTTTTTTTTTTTTTGAGACAGAGTCTCATTTTGTTGCCCTCAGTAGCATGCTATGGCATCACAGCTCACAGCAACCTCAAACTCTTGAGTTTAAGTGATTCTCTTGCCTCAGCCTCCCAAGTAGCTGAGACTACAGGCACCTGCCACAATGCCTGGCTATTTTTTGTTGTTGTTGTTTAGCAGGCCTGGGCCGGGTTTAAACCTGCCAGCCCTGGTGTTTGTGGTTGGCACCCTAGCCGCTGAGCTACAGGCGCCAAGCCACTTTTCTTTTTTTGTAGAGACAGAGTCTCACTTTATCACCCTCAGTAGAGTGCCATGGCATCACACAGTTCACAGCAACCTCCAACTCCTGGGCTTAGGCTATTCTCTTGCCTCAGCCTCCTGAATAGCTGGGACTACAGGCACATGCCACAACACCTGGCTATTTTTTGTTGCAGTTTGCATTGGGCCGGGTTTGAACCTGCCACCCTCGGTATATGAGGCCGGCGTCCAACCCACTAAGCCACAGGTGCTGCCCTTCTTCTTTTTTTTTTTTTTTTTGAGATAGAGAGCTTCTTACTTTGTCACTCTTGGTAGAGTGCCATGGCACCATAGCTCACAGCAACCTCAAACTCCTGGGCTTAAGTGATTCTCCTGCTTCAGCCTCCCAAGTAGCTGAGACTATAGGTGCCTGCCACAGTGCCCAACTATTTTTAGAGATGAGGCCTTGCTCTTGCTCAGGATGATTTCAAACCTGTGAACTCAGACAATCCATTGGCTTTGGCCTCCCTAGTGTTGGGATTATAGGCATGAGGCACCATGCCCAGCAAATGCTACTTTTTAATTTTTATTTTGTTGTTTAGACAGAGTCTCAATTCGTTGTCCTGGGTAGAGTGTTGTGCCATCCTAGCTCACAGCAACCTCAAACCCCTGGACTCAAGTGATTCTCTTATCTCAGCCTCCCAAGTAACTGGGACTACAGGCGCCTGCCACAACCCCCAGCTATTTTTTTAGAGACTGGGTGGGGGGAGTCTCGCTCTGGCTCAGGCTGGGCTCAAACCCATGACCTCAGGCAATCCACCTGCCTTGGCCTCCCAGAGTTCTAGGATTACAGGTGTGAGCCACCAAGCCTGGCCTGTACTTATTATTTTTTAGTAGAGATGGGGTCTTGCTCTTGCCGGGTCTGGTCTCCAACTCCCAAGCTCAAGCAATCCACCCACCTTGGCCTCCCAGAGAGCTGGGATTACAAGTGTAAACTACTACACCTGGCCCCAAAGGCTACTTTTTTAGAGAGAAAGGCCTATGTGGTAAAGCCATGAAACCCTGGCTGGGAATGATAAACTCTAAATTTGAGGGGCAATGGCCTTGCCAGGGAGAAGTGGGACTGGAGAAAGGTTGTCAGTATAAGGTTGTATTAGTCTCCTCTTAGGGCTGCTGTAACAGACCCACAAACTGGGTGACATAAAACAGCAGAAATATATTCTTCCACAGTTCTGGAGGCTAAAATTTTAAGATCAAGCTTCAGCAGAGCTGGGCTCCTTTGAGACTCTGGGTGGAATCTGTCTTCATCTCTATAGCTTTTGGTCATGGGTGGCAAACTTTGGCATACCTTGGCTTGTAGACCCATCCAAACTCAGTCTCTATTGTCACATGGCTGTCTCCTCTCTGTGTCTATGTCCAAATCTTAGTCTTGGGTTGGGCACAGTGGCTCATACCTGTAATCCTAGCACTCTGAGAGGCCAAGGGAAGTGAATTGCTTGAGCTCAGGGGTTGGAGACCAGCCTGAGCAAAATTGAGATGAGACCCCGTCTCTACTAAAAATAGGAAAAACTAGCCGGGCATTGTGGCAGGCACCTATAGTCCCAGCTATTCAGGAGGCTGAGGCAAGAGGATCTTTTGAGCCCCAAAGTCTCAGGTTACTGTGAACTGTGATGCCATGGCCTGTGTGAGTAAGACTCTTGTCTCAAAAACAAAACAAAATAAAACAAATTTTATTCTTATAAGGACACCAGTCACATTGGTTTAAGGGCCCACCCCTACCTCAGTATGATCTCATGTTAACTAATTATATCTGCAATGACCTTTTTTCCAAATAAGGTCATTTTCAGAAGTTCTGGGTTTAGGACTGCAACATATTTGCAGGAAGGGAGAATACAGTTCAATCCACAGAATGGATTCTTGTCAAATTGTTCTTCAAACTTTTTAGGGTGTCTTTAATATTCCATTAAACACAGAACTCTCTGGGAAGCTTCCTCAATAAATGAGACACAGTTACTAGCAATCCATCTACACAAGAGAATTGAAAGTAGTGTTCAAACAGAAGCTTGTGCACGAATGCTCAGAGTGGTATGAGTCACAACAGCCAAAAGGTAGAAATAGGCTTGGTGCCTGTAGCTCAAGCAGCTAAGGCACCAGCCACATACACCAGAGCTGGCAAGTTCGAATCCAGCCTGGGCCTGCCAAACAGCAATGACAACTACAACCAAAAAATAGCAAGGCATTGTGGTGGGCGCCTGTAGTCCCAGCTACTTGGGAGGCTGAGGCAAGAGAGTTGCTTAAGCCCAGGAGTTGGAGGTTGCTGTGAGCTGTGATGCCACAGCACTCTACCCAGGGCAACAGCTTGACGCTCTGTGTCACAAAAAAACAAACCAAACCAAAATAAAACAAAACAAAAGGTAGAAATAGCCCAAATATTCATCCACAGGTGAATGGATAAACACAACATGGTCCATCCACACAGGATCACTCAGCCACAAAAAGGAAGGAGGCTCTGATACAGGCACCATGTAGGCGGACCTTGAGTACATTATACTCAGTGAGAGAAGCAGACACAGGATACACAGTGTGGGATTCCATTTATATGAAATGTCCACAACAGGCAGATCCATAGAGATAGGATGTGGATTTGTGGGTGCCAGGAGCTGGGGGTGAGGATGAGGTGTGACTGCTGATGGGGATGGTGCTTCCTTTTGGGGTGATGAGAATGTTCTGGAATTAGCAGTGATGATTGCACAACATTGTGAATGTACTAAATGCTACTAAATTGTGCATTTAAAAATGGCCGATATGCTAAGATTTATACTATGTATTTTACCACAATAGACAAAATTCCCTGCCTAAGCTTGCTTCACCAGGAAGTGAATCCCTGTCAGGAAGACAGGTTGAAGGATGGATTGAGCAGCCATGTCTGTCTCTTGAGTCTGTCATGCCCACATGGGTATCGGCATGGGGGCAGATGGTTGTCCCTACGTTGCCACAGACTTGCTCTATGAGCCTGGGCACATTGGGGCCTCAGTTTCCCCATGTAAGAAACAAGGACAGTCCAAGCTATGAGGTGCTAAAAGAGCAGGCCTGGTGTCCCCAGCGGGGGTGTCATGGAGGCTCTGGGTACATCACCTGGACAATCCATATCCCTACCCCCCAAAAAACCTTACACACTCACAAGCTTGAAACATGAATTACACTTCTTTTATTTTAAAAGTCTGGATTGAAAAGTTGGGAAGAGGTTGCCTCCACCAAGTGCCCTCAGCTGAGCCAGGGCAGGATCGGCAATACCAGCTCCCCTCACTCTGGGATGCAGGATCTGGAGGGTCCCCTGCCTGTGTGGCATTACCTCATAGCCCTCCTTGCAGTGAGTAACTCTGGGATCTTGCAGCAAGCTAGGCATGAGGGTTTTATCTGCCCTCCTCCCAGGGGTGGTCCGGGAGAACCAGCCTGATACCAAGTGCTGAGGTGTATGGTCTTCCTGGGCCCCCAGCCACAGGGTTCTGGGTTTACAGCCCATGTTTAGTGCTTTCTCTGGGTTCAGGGTGCTGAGGAAGTTGGAAACCAAAGGGATGCTGTAGAAATTTCATTTTAGGGAGGCTCGAACCCCCAAGGTGCAGGATCAGGCCTGGTCCCAAAGGGCGGACCCCACTCCATTTGGGTGGAGCTGGGAAAAGGCCATTGGCGCCCAGAGCTGCTTCTCCGAATCTGTGAGCTGGCCACCCCCTCACAGGTGCTCACTGCAACGGGACAGAGAGGAGAGGTGCGTGATGGGGACCGGGATCCCATCACCTCTCAGCCCCCACCCCAGTCTTGAAGAACCTATGATGACACGCCCCCTCTGCTCCTCCAGAAAGATGCCAGGGCGGGGGTCCTTAACTAGGGCAGCTAGGATGCACCCTGAAAAGCTTTGGGGGAGGTTCTGGGGTCCCACATGTATCGGACCCCGCGGCATTTAACACAGGCACAGCCTGATCCGCGACCCTGCCCTCCAGACATTGGCGGCTGCGTCAAAGAAGCCCCTCAGGTGGATCTCCATCACCCGGGGCAGGGGCCTGGGAGGAAGATCCCGCTGCAGAATGACACCCCGCAGCCCAATCCCACCCGGTGGCTCTCGCAGAATTCGGGCACCACTCTGGCGCCTACTTGCAGGTCTAGCCCGACACAACCCCGCACCTGCCCCCAACACACCTGGCGACCTGGGCCAGGATCTCCTTGATGCGCACGATGAGCTTCTCGTGCTGGGCGGGGTCGCGCTCAATGGCGCCGTGCAGCCGGGCCATGTAGAAATCCAGGGTGCTGAGCGTGGGCGTCTCGCCAGTGCCTGAGGAGGGTAGGCGGAGGACCGGTCAGCCAGCCCCGGAGTGGGTGTGGGAGGGTCGCAAGGTCTGGGCTTCACCGGGACAGAAGTCAGAGGGTCGGTATTCTGTGAGGGCGGGGCCCTTCAAAGGGCGCCACAGAAGCGTCCGCGGGGTGGAGCTGGGAGGGTCAGGGCTGGCAAAAGTCTCAGTCTAGGTCAACTGAGAGCAGGAGGAGGCTGGCGAGGGCGAGGTCGCGATGAAGATACAAGGGCCAGTGAGGGGGGCGTTCAGTGAGTGCCAAGGGCAGCTAGGAACAGAGTCACAGAAGGAGGCTACCGGCTAGGGACCGGTCTCTGGGGTCGGCGTGGGCGGGGCCAACGGAAGTAGGGCAGGGGAAAGCTAGGGGTGGTCGGGAAAGGGCAAGGTGGAGTCAGCGACCAGAGGCTAGGGGCCAGATGCGCAGGATCGGCGAGGGAGAGGCCGGCGGAAGGCGATGCCTCGAGCCACGGAACAGAGGGATGCCTAGAGCAGAGGGATGGAGGCGAGGTTCACAGGAACCCAGCTACAGTAAATTCAAAGGAGGGAGACCCGGCGCTGGAGTCGGGGGCGGGGCACTCTGGAGGGGCGGGGCGGCTGGGGGAAGGCAGGCCCAAGGCGGGTGGGAAGTGCAGAGGCTGGGTAGGGGCAGAGCGGTGGAAGGGGCGGGCGGTTAGAGAGGGGCGTGGCCTCCGCACCCGGCACTGGCAGCGAGGCGAAGCTGGCGGTGAGTGCCTGGCGCACCGCCTGAAGTTGCTGCTGCAGCGCCAGCGTCCTCCTCTCCTCCAGCGCCAGCTCCTGCTCCAGACGCTCGCGTGCGCTGTTCATGCTCTGAGTGTGCCTCTGCAGCACCGCGTTCTGCTCCTCGAAGGCCACGTTCATTTTCCGCAGGCGCCGCAGCTCTGCCTCGCGCGCTGCAGGGGATGGGGGCTGTGTCAGAGTCTTTACTTTGGCTGTGCCCTGCCTGGCCTTGAGTCTCTACTCTTTTCCTCTAGCCACAGGTAAGCCCCCAGGGCTGGGGCTGCACCCGACCACCCTCCAGCCTTGGCGCCCTCTTGACTCACCCTCTTACACGACTTGCTTAAGACTGCGGTTAACGCTCACCTTTGTTTTGGTCCAAGAATTCTTCAGTGAAGATGGGAACATCGAAAGTGGAGAAGCCATCACAGTCCCCACCCTGGGACGAAGGGACAAGGTGGCAATGTTTTCTTTTTGTTTTGTTTTTAATTTAACATGAGGGTACAAATGATTAGGTTACAATGTTTGCATTTGTTAGGTAAAGTCCCTGTTGTAGTTGTACCCCTCACCCAGGAGGTATGCCATATACCCCTACATTGTGCCCACTAGGTGAAAGGACACTAGGCAATTTTTTTTTGACAGGCAGTCACATCCCTTCTGGATGTCCTCCAAGCCTGTGAGGGTCTCCTGGGGCATCCTGGGTCAGAGTCAATTAAAGAACATCCCCATGAGTGGCTTCTCTAACTCTGCTGGCACATCTTTGGATGAGTAGCCATGGCTTCCTTCCCTGAGCTTTGCTTTTCACTCAGGGAACTGAGATGATTCCATTTTCCACAAGGTGCTTCCTGGGTGGGAGTGGGGGGTGCTTACCTTGTGTCCATTCAATAGGGTATTCATGAGCCCAGAGCCAGAGTCTTCTGGTGGGGGAGGGAAGAGGGCAGGGTCAACCTCCCAGATATTGATACACTGACCCCACAAATTTCCCCTTCCCCATGGAAAACTATTTATCCCAGGTCAAGCTCCCCTCCTCTATCCTATGTCTGTACTGAATGAGTCCTGTTCATTCTCAACTGATTATATGTCTCTTGTCCCCACAGGAGTATAAACTCCCAGGAAGGAGGGTATGCCTGAGTTGGGATCAGCCTCCCACAGACCTGGCACCAAACTGCTCTGCGCTAGGGCCATCCCCACCTTTATTTCTTTTTACTAGCAAGTATGTAGGGCCAGTGAAATAATAGTATAATTTCTTTTTTTTTTAAGAGAGGGGATTTTTTTTTTTTGAGACAGAGTCTCACTTTGTCACCCTTGGTAGAGTACCGTGGCATCACAGCTCACAGCAACCTCAAACTCTTAGGCTCAAGTGATTCTCTTGCCTCTGCCTCCCAAGTAATTGAGACTATAGGCACCTGCCATAATTCCCAGCTATTTTTAGAGACAGGGTCTCACTCTGGCTCAGGCTGGTCTTGAACCTATGAGCTCACGCAATCCACCTGCCTGCGCCTACCAAGTGCTGTGATTACAGGTTTAAGCCACCCTGCCTGGCCCAAGAGAGAGAAACTTGATTCATTGTCCAGGCTGGTCTCAAATTCATGGACTCAAGCAATCCTCTGCCTCAGGAGTCATTGGGGGCCACTGCACCCAGTGCCTCACACCTTTCTTTTTCTTTTTTTTTTTTTGAGACAGATTGTTAGGCAATCTGCCTGGGTAGAGTGCCATGGCATCATGCTCACAGCAACCTCCAACTCATGGACTCAAGCAATCCTCCTGCCTCAGCCTCCCAAGTAGCTGGGACTACAGGCGCCCACCACAACACCTGGCCATTTTTTTTAGTTGCAGCCATCATTGTTGTTTGGCAGGCCCGGGCTAGGGATTCGAACCCACCACCTTAGGTGTATGTGGCTGGCGCCTTAGCTGCTTGAGCCACAGGCGCCGAGCCCCTCACACCTTTCTTAATCTTCTTCTCCTGGATCTTCTCCGTGCACATCTTGTAGGCTTCAGACTGTTGGTAGGCACGCAGCTCCTTCATGTACTGCTGCTTCTCCCGCTCTGCCTCGTCCAGGTAGCGCTGGCAGGGACAGCACCAGGAGCCTTGGCTCACCCAGAGGCCTCCACTGCTGGGACCTTGCCCCTGGTGCCCCAGCCTGCTTGCCATGTCTCCAACTCCCACCCTTACAGATCACTCTGCTACCACCTCCAGGCTACACCATACTTGGAATGCCCTGTTGAAATCCCACTTAGAAGGTGCAAATCGGTAGTGGTTGGTAAGTGGTCATTAAGTTTTAGATCTCTTCCTGCCTACTGCTACTCGGCCTCCCCCAAAGTTAAATGCATGTGGTCATGTCTTCGGGCAGAAAGGAGAACCCTCCCCATACCGCAATCTTGGTGATGTGTCTACAGGGTGTCCCAATGGATGAGGGGCTGTCAGTGGACCTGGCTGACCCGGTGCCCATTCCCACCTGCTTCTCTGAAGGCTGCAGCTTGCTCCACTCGGCGCCCAGCATCTTGGTGATCTCAGGAAATGGCAGGTCTGGGTGGCGTGTACGGATCTGCTCACGTCGCTCGTTCAGAAAGCGCACATAGCCTGTGACAGGTGCCTTGGGCCCATTTGGCAGAATCTTCTTTCGCTTCTTGCCCTTGGGCCAGCCGCGCTTCTTCACTGGCTACAGAACCCGTAGCGGGCAGTGTAGTTAGGAAGGGCCTGGAGAGCTGGGGCGGGGCTCAGCGAGGCCTGTAGAGGCGTGGGCATGGGTGGGTGGGGCATGGGCGGGGCCTAGTGAACTGACAGGACCTCGCAGGGCTTGAGGTATATACGGCCTAGTCAGGATCACGACCTTGAGGATTAGGGTGTCCCTGGATCCGAGGTAGTGGTGACAGGGGTTCAGCCGAGGGATGGGTCTGCCTTGGGGTGGGCGTGGCCACTTGCTGAGGAAGGGCCCACAGGGACCATGGGAAAGTGCTTCCCCACCCCCCCACAGAGGTATGCACTGGACAGGTAGTGGCCCAGGCCTCCGGCACCGGGGAAAAGTTAGCCTTGGGTGGTGGGCGTGGCATGGACTCAGAATGACGGTGGACCTGTTATGCGGAGTGGCATCTGGCTCAAGCCAGGGGTCTTAACTTCTGGGCTGAGGGCGGAGCTACAACCAATTCAAATTTAGCCTGGGGCGGGGCCTCAAGGTTGGGGACCAGACCCCAGGATCTCCCCCAGCACAGTGCAGGGACTCTTACCTCCTCCTCGTGAGACCCCTTCTCGCTAGCACGTGGACCCTCACCGCGCTCTTGCTTGACTGCCACCAGGAAGCCCCCATGCGGGCCCGGAGCCTTGGCGCCCGCCGGCCTGGAGCAAGGAGGACCAGACTCTTAGAGCCCTCCCTATCCCCCACACCCACTGACCGCAGAGCTGGCAGTAAGGGGGGCGTAAGTTGAAGGAAGCGGGATTAAAGGGGGTCGGATCCGGAGGACAGGACAGGAGCTCGAGGTGGGACAAGAGGGCTCCCTAGGGGGGTACTGGACCCAGGGAGTGAGGGACTCGGGACAGGGTATGGGCAAAAGCCTTTGGGGACCCCCTGACCCAGGTAGGGCAGTCAGGACCCTGGGGAGGCGGGGTCGGGGCAGAAGTCCTGGAGATCGGACGGGCCGGAGGGGGCTGCGGTGGGGGGCGCGCACTCACGCGGCGGCCGCGCCGGGCTGCTTGGGGCCGTGGGACATGGCCGCTCCGGGCCAGACCTGGAACCCAGACGCGGGGAGGTAAGGGGCGGCCCGCTGCCCGATGTTGGACCGTGACTAGGGTCCCCGCCACCCTCCGATGGGGAGCTCCGGAATGCCGGGCCGGGACGCTTTGGGCGGCTGAATCCGGGGGCGGAGAAGTCCTCGAGGGCGGTCGCCCCAAGAATCCTTTGTTGGGCAATCATCCCCCAGGAGGCCTGGGCCGGTTTCCCCCAGCCCCAGGAAGGACCCCGCCCCGGCTCCGGGACCCCCGTGCCCCAACCCCCTCTCAAAGCCCCGAGTTCTGCGGCTGTTTTCACCTCCAAAGAAACTTTCCCGGACCTTCCGACTGCTGCGACGCTCCAACCAACCGCCCGAGCCCGCCCCTGGCGGCCGCCCCGCCCCGTCCCGCCCCCGGCATGCTAATGACGGCCGCGGCTAGCCGTCAGATTTGGTGTGGCCTTCCCTTGGGGCGTGACCATGCAGATACAGGCTGGCGCGCCGATCGGTGATTGGCCTGGGAGACTACTGAGCCGCGTGGGAGGTGGGCAGGAAAGGAGGCGGGCAGTGCGTCAAGTTCGGCTGCGCTCGGCCACGCTCGGGACCAATCCGAGGAGCTAGGATGCGTCGCTGGGAGGAGCCTTTTAAATAGTCTGTGGACGCGGTGGGGACTCCTCCTCCCGGAGTGAAGGCGAGGACTCTCCGCCCCTGCCGGATCTGGGGAGCTGGTGATCCGGCTTGTACCCCCAGTTGCCATGGGGACGGCGGTGGGTTGCTAGGGAGGGAGTTAAGGTCCTTCAAGGCAGCCCCCTGACGCAGGACAAGGTGGGACCTGTAAATACCATCCTGCAAAACTCTCTGGAAGGTTTCTTATCTATTCACTCAGTTAAAAAGGCCTTGACAGTCCAAGCTTGGTGGCTCACGCCTGTAATCCTAGCACTCTAGGAGGCCAAGGTGGGCAGATTGCTGAGCTCAGGAGTTCTAGATCAGTCTGAGTAAGAGTGAGTCTAAAAAATAGCCCGGTGGGCTCGGGCTCGTAGCTCAGAGCTTAGGTTGCCAGCTGCATGCAGCGGGGCTGGAGGGTTCGAATCCAGCCTGCTAAACAAACGACTACAACAAATAGTTGGGCGTTGTGGCAGGCGCCTGTAGCCCAGCTATTGGGAGGCTGAGGCAAAAGAATCGCTTAAGCCCAAGAGTGGAGGTTGCTGTGAGCTGTGATGCTGCAGCACTCTACCGAGGGCAACATAGTGAGACTGTGCCTCAATAAATAAATAAATAATAAAAATAAAAATAGCCCGGCGTTGTAGCCGGCGCCTGTAGTCCCAGCTACTTGGAAGGCAAGAGGATCACTTGAGCCCAAAGAGTTAGAGATTTTCGTGAGCTATGACACCACAGCACTCTACCACGGACTATAAATGAGACTCTGTCGGCTCGGCACCTGTGGCTCAAGAGGCTAAGGCGCCAGTCACATACACCTGAGCTGGCAGGTTCGAATCCAGCCTGGGCTGCAACCAAAAAATAGCCAGGCATTGTGGTGGGTGCCTGTAGTCCCAGCTACTGGGGAGGTGGAGGCAGGAGACTCGCTTGAGCCCAGGAGTTGGAGGTTGCTGTGAGCTGTGATGCCACAGCACTCTACCCAGGG